CTGAAGCTGAGGGATATTGCTCACGGTTGCTTTACAGACCAACAATCCTGTTGCTTCCACCCTAAAAGCTGCTACATGAATCCACGTTTAACTGTGGCGACTGACATCAAAATCCAGAAACGATGAGAAAACCTCGGATCCTGAGTCTCCACTGCCCCAAGCCCTGCCTCGTCATTTGCAATGATACAAGACCTGGTGGCATTTCACATTCCCTCTGCACAGCTTGCAGCAGCCAGGCAGTGGAAGGACAAGCTGTGAATGTTTTCTCTCTCTCTCTTTAGTGATTTTTACCCCGCGGGCCCTTCCTGCTCTTCTCCTCGCACCCAAGTCACAAGGACCTTTGTTGAAGAACTTTGGAAAAGGGACTTGCCAGAGACGTGTACCAGGACAGTGCGCTGACCAGGGAGACAGCGCTTGCTATCACTAGGACTTGAAGGCTGCCTGCAGCCCAGGGGTCGCTGTCACTCGGGTCACCCTAAAACAATGGTCTCTGCAATAAATTTGACCTCAGTGTTTAGGTGGCCAAGGGATAATCCACAAAGCCCCGGTCCTATATAAAATTCTTGGGCGAACTAAACACCTTGAGTTTCAAAAATGTGGCATATGCCAGGCCCCTCCACTTCTCCAAAGGGATATGCCAGGCCCCTCCACTTCTCCAAAGGGATATGCCAGGCCCCTCCACTTCTCCAAAGGAACATGCGAGGACTGAATTCAGATGCAAGAGTTAAATGATGCAAAATCATGAAGTTTTGAGTCAAATAAAACTCAAACCTTCTATCCACGGACCAAAGTCCTTGCCCCTGGGTCATGATATGCAGACACAAGGGGTCTGACCTCATCATTAATTAGTAGTTTTGCATGGATCAATTTTCATTTATCTGCGTCTTTCATTCATTAAAGATGTTCCAGAGAAGTTTGTTATCAAGGTTGCCCAGGGAAACTGCTGAATTAACCTCAAGTGGTCTAGCTGTTGCCCACGGCAACGCTCCAGCCACATCTCCCCATAAAACAAGAGGCAGGTGTACTGATGACATGCTTAAAAAAAAATAAAAAGCAGCTGATTGCTTCTGATACCAACTTTATTTAATAATGATTAATCTTCAACCAGACTTCTTTGTGCGTCTGTGGGTAAGGCTTGCCATATGGAGTGAGAGTTAATTGTTGTTGGAAACGTGAAGGGAAGCTCCACAACACAAGCTGCAAAGGAGTATTTACCTGATCCCTTCTTTGAACCTCCCGTCATGGCTGCGTTCTTCATACGCTGCCCAGAGCCCAGGTCCAGGCAGCAAAACCAGACAATTAATGAATTCGTCTCCCCCAGCCCATCAGACCTGAACAAATCGGGACACTCCAATAACGAGGCACAAAACATACCTGATCAGCATCTCGGTCTCCTGAATGTCCTTTGACGTGATGTACTGTGCAATTTAATTTGATCTTCTGGAATCAATTTTGTAATACACTAAATCATTCAAGGGTAAAGGTCTGTGACTTTCCGCTGCCCCACTATCCCATGAAAGTCAGACTGTGATCAGATCACAGACAAATTCCCTGGCCAAAGGCTCCCAGGCATTTAAATTGTCACTCAGCCTGATTTGAGTCACTAAAGAACCTAAAGGCCCCCACCCCTGTGGGCTGCATGTATCTCAAGTACCCCCAAATGAGGGACATTACACAACAAGCAGCAGAGAAGACCAGGATTTGAAATGGTCTGGAGCCTGTTTATTTTAAACAAACACAGTTCCTCTTTACCTCATATTAAGACTCAGAATTTCTATGATCAAGTATCACTTAAGTCTTCCATGATGCTATTAGCGTGCAGAGATCTGCCTGGCTTCTCTCTGCAGGATTTTCACCAGATTGTGGTTTGCAGGTTCAGAAAATCACATGAGCTACTTTGGTCTTTCTTCTTTCCCAGCTTCAGCTTCAGTTCTCAAAGGTCCCTACCTCAGGGAATTCCCACTCTCAGGTGGCCCCACATGAAAATGGTATTTGGATGAGTGGGTGCAGTTTATGCACCATCTCTGCTGCCTATGTGCCATTTTCTCATGTCTGACACAGGCATCAGCCAGAACATTCAGCACTTATTACATGTCAGTCTCATGGCCCTGAGTGTGACATATATATAAGAGACAGTAGTCTCAGTCCGGTTCTTAGTGGGCAGGTCTCCGTGCTACTCAACAATCAAGAATGTGTGACCATCTGAAATTTCTCCTGGCCACAGGTGGGCTGAAAACACCAACCTAAAGGTAAAAATCTCTGGACGCCCCTGACACTCTCCTGAACCCCACTAGCTCCTGATGACAGTTCCCTTTGCTAAGTTTCGGGCCGTTTGTCCCAGGATCAATTTTCCCCTGCAGGGCTTTATGATATTTATTGCCTCTAATATTTATACTCCTCTTTTCTGTCTCATACTCATTTGTTTCTCTACACTTGTATCATAGTTTCCTTGTAGACAGTCTATTCCAGCCTGTGGCTGCAGTTCCAAAGGCAGTCCCCACTGTCATAAAAAAACCTCCTTCTAACCACAGGGCAAGGACACATCCTCTGAACTGGAGGATTTTATCTTTGGTGACCTCAATATCACCCCTATTCAGAACGGGTAGAATTTTTTTAAGCTCTTGATTCAGGACAGCAGCATGTAGGCTTCTTGGTGCGTGAGGTGCTTTGTAAAACGTTACTCAGAGTATGCAATATTCCCAAATGGGGGTTCTGAAGCTGAACTGGGCCATCTGCTTGCTTTCTGGGGGAGGAGGGTAAGAGTATGTCACACCCGTCCACAGTGATGGCAGAAATGGCACCTGTCAGAAATGACACCGAGCGTTTCCTAAACCTGCTCGGGCAGAAGGAAGCTCACAACTGTGCCGCAAAGATGTTCTTAAGCATGTGGGAATCCTCAAGGCTTTAAAAGGGATAAAATGACCTGAATCCCTCTTTAAAAGATAACATGTGAGCCGGCGGATTAACAGAATAAACCTCTTAAAATGGCTACAGCGCTGCATGAAATGAATGAGAGTGGAGTGATTCAGCTGGCGAGAGAACAAAAATCAGGCCTCATATCGGGAAAACATTTGTGTCACCAGTTAACTGAGGTCAGTATGATCCTCCTGTACAACTGGCCTGGGTAGGGACTGAATATCTCCGGGGGCTGGTGACAGGGTAGTGCGCTGCTCGTCTTCGCGTACCCGACTCAGATCCGGATGAAATAAACAGTCGTTCATTCCCACCTGATGGTGAGCTGTGTGTGTAATGAGTTTGGTGGGTCTGAAGTCAGTGGCCACGGGACTGGTGTCCACCTCACACAGCCAGAATCTGGCATGAATTGGGACCGTGGACTTTGGTAGAACAGGACTGGGACAGGGTACCTCAATATAGAGTCGGTGGTCGTATCTGGAGAAATGAGGGGCTCCCACCAGCACCCACTGAAGTCAGCAACAGCTGCTGGGTGCTCAGCTCTTTTAAATACACATCCAATGACCAATGGGGTTGGATAACCACATTTGGAGACTTGGCACATCTGTGTAAGGCCAACAAAACTGAGGTGTTGGCACCCCCTGCGGGCTACTCGGCGGCTAAACTACGACATCCTTTTCTCAGGACTGTGCTGATACAATCAGAGCTGTACATGCTTGGAAACGGATGTCAGCAAACCGAGCCGACTACGTTTCAGACCGTCAGAAATGCGGACGGAAAGATCCGCGTTTGCCGCACACAAGAGCAAAAGCAGCAGGCTGAGAAATGCCATTTTTCATCTTAAATGGATGTTGTAAGTACTAGAGATAAGCAAAGGTAAAATCTGGTTTCATAAACACCCGGCAGTGTATACAGATCTGGCTTTCAACGATCCTTTTTGCTACCCAGGTAGTTCTCCGGTGGGTATTTTTTCATAGCCAGCGACTTACCCTTAGAGGATTCGTTTCTTCCAGTAAATCCATGAGAAACCCGATGCTCCCCGATGCCAAATGATGCGCAGCGGGTTCGAGAGGCAGGCCAAGCAATGCGCGCAGCCCGGCGCCGCCGAGCGCCTCGACCGTGATGAATTATTAGATGCCGCGACGCACGGTGATCACACGAGGTGACGGTGCTGGCGCACGACGAAGCTGCGGGCCGTCGTGTTGCAAGAAACGTCTCAAGAAAGCCCCGGCGGTCGGGCTGCCTGGACATGTCCCCCTGGCCCCCCCGCCGCGGGATGGCGCCCGCCCGCTCAGCTGGAGAGGAGGAGTCACGACCACGGCGGCGACCTGGTGCGAAGCAGGGCACGGCCGCGGGCTCATCAAAAGCGCCACGCGTAGCAGGGACGTGGCGTCGAGAGGGGCGGACTCGGCCTCGCGGCTGGGCCCGGTATCATGACAGGGGATTCGAAAGCCACCAACCGCCGCCTTCGATTCGGTCCGCATGTTGCCGCACGCATCATGGCTTCGCAGTGACATCATTGTTTCACAGTGGCATGACTGCTTCACATTGACATCATCGCTTTGCAGTGACATCGTCGCTTCACAGTGACATCATGGCTTCACAGTCACACCATGGCTTTGCAGTGACACCATGGCTTCACAGTCACATCAGGGTCTCACAATGACATCATCGCTCCACAATGACATTGTGGCTTCGCAGTGACGCCATCACTTCGCAGTGACGCCATCACTTCGCAGTGACAGCATCCCAGGGCCCTCTGGCATCCAGCGGCCCTCTGACAGCATCACGATCCCCCGAGCCACGTCACACGCCCCCCGGAGCCCGAGCGCCCTCCGCCTTTCCGTAGCGCCCCCTAGGGGCGGGGGCAGGCCCAGCCGGAGGCGGCGCGGGCGGGACTTCCGGCTAAGGCCCGAAGGTGATTGGCGGGCGCGGCGGAACGGAAGCGGAAGTGGCGCGGGGCGCAGGCGCAGCGGCGACCCGGGGCCGA